AAATATTGCTGCCTAGTATGAGTCGGTATCAGCGTATCCTACCTACTCTACTTACGACATTTTTGCAGATATCAAAACCAAACAATATACCTCATAAATAGTGAGGAAAGTTGTTAAAAAAATGGACAACTATAAAATTAAAATTAATATAAAACAGACTTTTAGCGCAGCAATACTGTAATAATGAAAAGAGTTTTAACTTTAATTTTTTTTTTTTTTTTCATATATAGTCCTATCAGTGTACTACTTGCTGATGAAATTTCCATCTTGAAAACCATGTCCTTTTTTAGATATGAATTTTCCAAAACCGCCAAAAGCCATTTTCGACTAGATTTGAATTTGAATATCATGAAAGGGATTGAGTGGAAAATGATGAAAATTGTACATTTGATAACACTTTATAATATGGACATATAGAACAAATTTAGTGATTGAGACTTAATCAGCTCTAGAGTTATATCGTATCAAATATGTTTGGAAATTGGCTTATTTGAATGATAAATCAGTATATGAAATTGAGGTACTGAATTGAATTTCAGTTTTAAAGTAGGTATTGTAACATCTCTCTTATATTTTACAAATAATAATAATGTAATCTCGGAAGCTCACTTCTTACCGTTAGGATACTTCCAAAAGAATTATTATAACAAGAGGTTGTTATAATAATATACAAAATTATAAGAGTATTAATATATTTATTTATCTCAGGTGTGGGTTACTGACAATCAGATCAAACTAACATTAACTATACTAAACACTGTTTGATTTTAAAATAAAGTCAAATATGGAATAGCAAGCTAACCTTTTTTCTATAGATACTGTTTCTTCCTTTGTCACACTAAATTCATTTGTCTTCAAATGCTTTCCAATCTTCTGCCAAAACACAACTTCCAAAATGGTGACACTATTACTGGGTTTTACCCACTGGAGCAAGGATCCCTTCTCCTATCCTCTCTTGACTGCAGCCAAACACCAACTGTTTGCCAAAACAAAAACCTTTGTCCCGATGTAAATGCAAGCGCTTCAAAGCTGTTACATTAACAACTGTATTTGTGATTGGGGTGAAATATTGTTTTAAAAATCATTGATATGGATATGTGATATTTACTTATGAATTCAAACTTGATTTCGTCCAATGAATCATCATTCACGTCAAATCATTTGGAAGACACACACAGCAGACATATTCTAAATGGAGTATAGTAAATACAGATGTTAAAACATCATAACAATATGGAAAATCCTCTAGATATCAGCAGAAGATATTACGCGCATTTTGCTATATGTCACGTGGCAAACAAATGTGGAGTACCTAACAGATTGGGGCAGATAGCAACTTCATGTTATAGCCGGAGCGTCAGAATGGCATTATTAAAGCATACCACAAAGGCAAAACTAACCATAGAGAATATCCCCGAAATTCTTACAGCACTAAAACACTGACATTATTGGCGTCATATGCGTAAGACGATCCGTGAAAACATTCGAGCAAATACGGTCTGCCGTCAAGTCAAATATGATCGGCATCCTATCATTGTTCACCCAGAGGTTACTCATGAACCAAACTCACCATTGTTGGAAGTACAAGTAGACATCATCACATGGGAAGGACTACACTGGCTCACGATAATAGATACATTTAGTAAACTAGCGATGGCACACTCCTTACCGAGCAAACCGGCAGATCCTGTTTGGGAAGGCATGTTTACCTGGATATTCTGCTATGGGGTACCTTACAAGATTACATCGAATGGTTTTCGAAGGGAGTTTAAGAACACTCTAACTACTAGAGTGCTTAGACCCTGGTATGCATTGGTACTTCACCTTTCCAGGGAATCCGCCGGAACGGGGAGCTATTGAGCGGCTTCATAATACTCTAGGGGAACACTTTCGCTTGTTTCAGCTTTATAGGCAATTGGGAGTGCAAGTAGCAATACCTAGGGCAGCATTAGCATATAATAATACTATTCACTCAGCCATGGGATTCACACTGGTGGTTTATAGTTTCGGCCATCCTCCATCAAAAGTGACTTGAAATGAGCCTCGATTCTCTCCATCTTGATAGGACACTGCTTTGGGCTGTACATGTTTATTATGCTCAGGACCTCTCTTTTCCTACTAATGTAATACTAAATACCTACAATAGGTCATACTAGTGTTGCTCTCGCCTCCTCTCTCTGGTAGCTTTGTTGGATCTCCATGGATTGCTGACCTTTTGTACCCCCTTGCTTTTTATTTCTAGATTTTTCTTCTTACATATCTGATAGAAGCATAGAGCTGGGTGTTTCGGTCATGGAAGTGTTTTGTTTGACTTCGAGCTAAAGCTAAAAGCTAGCTTACAGCTAACAAATCATAAATACCATTAAAATAACAAAAGTCTTATTTATTATATCGCCGGTTAATTAAGCATTGTAGGACTATTAGTTATTAAACAGTTATTTTCCATTGCAAAGTTTGCTAAAATGGAATTAAGAGATTTACATTGTCTGTCATAGACAGGTAAAAAGTTATCACACTAATTGGAAGTGGATACAGTTGGAATATCACAAAGGGAAAATTCATCAAATTATTCACTAATTTAGTTTTATAAATGGTTAATTGATGATTTTTCAGAATAAACGGACGATAGATACCTAATTATTTAAATATAATATCAGATCTAGAGTTATTCGAGAACTCTAACAAAATACAGTAAATATATTTAAGGTTATAAACATATCCTTGAAATATTTTTATTTTTCACTTCTTCCTTCACAGAAGTACAATGAAATAGTATCTTAAAAAGTGTCATTGCCTTGAATCTGTGGATTTTAAATACTTTTCAAACTAAAAAAAATGTTAAAAGTTTGCATTTACTAAGAAAATTTTATTTAATTTCCTTGAAAACACGTGATTTACATTAAACAATGTTAGTTTTTAGAAATTATTATTTATATTTTTTTCACCACTCTCAGTCACCTTCAATAATTTTCTATATTAGATATTGTTTTGTTTTTTCAATTCTCCGCTTTCCAACGATATACTATACATATATCTTTTGACTATTATTTCTGGCCTAGATATGTATTTTTCTCCTATATTCAATTATCAAATTCTTTCAAAAGTTATATTTAGCATTTTTTCATAACTCTTAACAATGAGAAATAGTTATTAAATATAATAAAACAAATTAAAGGTACTTTAAAGGAAGACACGAAAATTTTGGGATTTCACAAAAGGAAAATTCATCAAATTATTCACTAAATTAATTTTTTTTAAAGTTACATGAATATTTTTCGGAATAAATTTGATACTTAATCATTTAAATATAATATCAGATCTATTATTATTAAGTAAATGGATTTAAGGTTATAGACATATGCTTTATACAGCCATGAAATGATTTGATTTCACTTCTTCCACACAAATACAATGAAATAGTTTATTAAACAATGGTATTGTCTTGTTTAGGTGGATTTTAAATACTTTTTTAAACTTTAAAATATTTTAAAAGTTTACATTTAGTTAGTAAATTTCATTTAATTTCCTTGAAAACATGTGATTAAAATGATATAATTTTTATTTTTGTATCCTTTATTCTATTATCAAATTCTTTCAAAAGTTATATTTAGCATTTTTTCATAACTCTAAATAATGTGAGATGATTAGTGGGCGGGGTGGTACAGCACCGCCGTTGCCCGGCAACCTGATAAATCAATCAAATGATATAAAAAAAGACACGAGTTCGTGTCCCGGTGCCGAGGGAGTCTTTTAAATCCCCGGCCACACTCCCTGGCCTGGGAAAAGGCCCAAATAGCCTTAATGGCGAGGAAGGGGAGGACCGGAAAAAAAAAAAAAAAAAAAAAAAAAAATGAGATGATTAATTATTTAAAATAAACCATATTAAAGGTACTTTAGGGGAAGACATATATGAACATTGAACATTTAATCCCTGTTAAGATTAGATCTGGTTAATATTAAAGACCACTTCATTATACAATGATACACAAGTTTAATCAACTCAGTGTATCTCAAAACGTGTATATCCGTTGAAAACTAAGACTTGGAAAGTTTCAGGGTCGCAATACTTTTCCTTACTATATATTACATATATCATCGGTAAGTGAAAATAAAAATTGGATAAATAAAGTTTTAATTAGTGTGATATTTAAATGAAGTTGTAAAATAACAGGTTTTAGTGGTTAAAATTAGTTAGATTGAATTAAATAGTTTGGAACCATTAAACTATTATATATACTTTTTAAGTTTTTGATAATTTTAGTTTTAATTGAAATGAGTTTGTTTTTTAAATAAATTATCATTGTCTATTCGACAAGAGAAAATAGATGAAAACAATTTTTAATTGATTTTCAAAAAAAGAATTGTGAAAATTAGAAAGCAGGTAATTGTTTTGGATTATAAATTTTAAAAGATTAATAGAGTTTGATGTAAAAAGTTATATATGAAGAAAATTGTATATAAAAACTTTTTTCAGATATGCTGAAAATGGCCTAAGGCCGAAACATGGATGCAAATTAAAATTACATGATAAAGGAGATGGTCCGGGGTGGCAGTCATAAATAGGCTAAATAGTGGTAAAACTATTTTATTAAAAGCCAACGTTTCGACCCGACTTTGCAAGTCTTCTTCAGGGAGGTGTGTTCAGCTAGAACTAAGTGAAACTCCTAGCTGAACACACCTCTCTGAAGAAGACCTGTGAAGTTGGGTCAAAACGTTGGCTTTTAATAAAATAGTTTTCCCATTATTTAGCTTATTTATGACCGCCACCCTGGACCATCTCCTTCCTTTAGAAATAATAATAAATTATAAGTTAACTTCTAACATTAATAAATTAAGAAAAAAGTAAAATAATAATAATCAAAAACGAACTAACAATTTATTTTAATATACTCCTTCATTGAAAGTTGTTAAAAATAATTTAATAAATTAATGTAACAGGTAAAAAGCAAGCTAACCTAGTTTCTGTACTCTAAAGAAACAATAGAAAATAACATAATCACCCTGGTAAACTGCTAGCTCTGACAATTTCTGCCCAAGACTTATCTGATAACCAGGAAGGATCAGGATTTGGAAAAGGATTATCCAAAGCAACTCCACCAGTCAGAAGAAATGTAAATAATTCTTCGTTAACCTTACCCTATGAAAAACAAAAAAAAAATTTAGAATAAAATAGATTTTATGAAAATGTAAAATGAATAGTTTTATATTTTTTAATATAAAATATATTGATCAGAAATAGAATATTTTATTACACTCTTGCTTTATTACTAATGAAGGTAGAGAAGCATTGTATTCATGCCAGAGGAAAAATAACGTTGGGCTCAGAATCGAAAATTCACACTCGCCACGTTTTATGTTTCAGCCTTCAAAGATCTAATTTGGATTGCTGTCTGTCTTTTTTTTTTTTTTTTTTTTTTTTTGTAGAGAATTATTATATTTCTGAAAACGTCTTCTCCTAGAGATTTTATTCTTATGAAAAATTATAGACTTTGAAATATACGTATTGTTTAACCAATGAAAACTGAGGAAGCTATACTGACATTACTTGACAAATGTTTTTGTAACAACATTAAAAACACATGTAATAATAAATAATAATAACAGATAGTCCATGACATCCTTCCCCTTTAAAGAAACAAGGTATTGGGTAGGTCTCTTAGGAGAAAATATTCCAAGCAAATGACAATGATCTATGAAAATCAAAAATTTATGGAAGGCTACATAACATTCAAATTTTTTAACTACAAAAGCTATTACCAGCTCATCACAATCAAGCTGAGAATAACTGCATTCTGTTGTAGTCAGGATTCATGAAGCAAAATCAATTGGAACCTCAATCATCTTCCTTGATGATGTATGATCAGGCAAGAGGTGTGAATGAAAAGCTCCAACACCAACTGGTGAAGCATTATCCGTGATAATGAGAGGAAGTTCCGGAATGTAATGTGTAAAAACTAAGTTGCTAGATAGGATATCCTTTATCTGTTATAAGGCCAATTCATGCTTGTATTCCCATTTCCGCTTAGAACCAGCCTCAAGGAGATGATTCAGTGGCTTCAGAATGGTTGATTTGTTTCCATAGAACGAAATTAAACCCAAAAGTGACTGAAGTTCCTGCCTGTTCTTTGGAACTGAAGCATTATTGATAGCTGAGACTTTATCCTCTGTGGGATGGACCCCTTTAGGATCAAGATGAAAACCTAGTAACTAGAGTGAAGTTGATTGCCACATTTATCAACATTGATCTTTAATCCAGCTTTACCAAGTATCTCCAACACTCGAATCATATGCGTCTGTAATTTTTGGATGTTCGCACCCTTGACATAGATATTATTCTGATATGCTACAACACCTACGAATTTTCCTAGCAAACCATCAATGACCCGTCAAAAGGCTGATCATGCTACTTTGATGCCAAAAGATAATCGCGTCATTCTGTGCAAACCTTTTATAGTGTTGACTGTCAATATAATTGAAATTTTCTCATCAACGTGTTAAAAGTCTCGGATTTGTATTAAGTACATTCATGTTTAATAAAACTTCCAAAGAAATTGACAAACAGCTAAAAAACAAGATTAAGGATAGGACATAAACAATTACCAGATCAATTGGTAGTACATTAACATCTCGAGAAATATATACCATGGAGACTGCCTCAGCTCTCTCTGGTTTTGTCTTGTAATGGCTTCATTAAATTTTATTAAATCGAGAGGGTAACAATTTCAAAATTTAACTTAATGAAATGAATTCAGTAATCAGCCATAGCTTTTACAAGGATGATTTCACGCTTTATACAAAGAATAAATCTCAGTTGCAGGCTATGATAAATATAGTAACCTATTTTAGTGACTCAATACACATGTCACTCGATATTGAAATATGTTCAATAAAGAACTGTATATTAAAGAGCTTAAAAATAGCGAGTAAAGATGTAAAAACAGACTGATGAAGTTATTTAAAAAATATTGAAGATTATCCTTAAGACATAACTGTCTTCAGGATCAAAAATTAAAGCTATAAATAAGTGGGTTATACCAGCCACATCTAACAGCTTCAGAATTCTAAAATGGACTACAATTTCACTCCAGAAATTGGATGGATTAATAAGAACAAGTAAGACAGGTCCAGAATACATCACCTGACTCCATCTATGGCAAGGCTTTATCGGCCAAGAAATGGCCCTCAGAGATTAATTACTTCAAACAAAGTGAGGTACTTTTTCATAAGATAATGTATAATCTCGACCATGGACATACAGCATTACAGTTAGCTACCCAAGAAGCTGCTGCATCCATCATTATCATGGATGGTAATTGACTGGAAGAGTGGAAGTCGAAAGCATTGCACAAAAGATTTTTTCACCAGCTCCAGCAAACTGAAATAGATAGAAGATTATGTACTAGTTGGCTGGTTAAAAGAAATCTGTTTGCCGAGACAAAGAGCTTTCTGACAGCAATCCAGGATCAGATCATAGCAACAAGATATTACTTGTGACACATCCTCAAGCAGCATCAGACAAGTGTTGGCTCTGTGCCAGTACAATTGAGTCTCTTCACCAGATAACTGGAGGGTGCAGAGCACTGGTTGGTACAGAATAGACATGACTCAAGAGACATGAGGATGTTATGAAAATCTATCATCAGGTGATTAATTTGAAAACAAAACTATTGAATAACTCGATGCCTTATTATAAATACCAACCTAAAGATCCAATCCAGAAGGAAGGAATAAAACTGTACTGCAATCAGTCTTTTATAACTGACCATACAGTAATTCCCAACAGATCAGATATCATTAATGAATAGTAAAATGAGGACAGCTAAAAATAATAGATATTGCTGTGCCAAACCATAGAAACACTAATTCATTCTGTGTGGAAAAAATTTGGAAATATCAAACTCTAGCAGCTGAGTTGAAAGACCTATACAGACTGAATAAAGTAACTGTGAGGTCCTTAGTGATCTCTGGCAATGGGCTGTTTCCAAAATCCACTGTGGAAGCTACTGGGAAGTTGGTCCTCTCAACAGCCATTATAAATAAAGCCTAGAAACGTGTGTTCCTGTTGAAATCTGTGAGGATTGTAAGAAGTTTCCTTAATATACAATAGTTTTATAAAAACGATCTGAATAGTAGTGGTTGATGTTTACTCTTTCCCACTCCAGGAAAACACCTTTTATTCAAAGTGTTAAAAATAAAGATTAATAATAACAGCAGATAGTATACAACAAATAGGAATTAATGCTTACCTGAGATCTCTGAATACCTAAACAAAGAACAAATGAGAACGTTGTTTTATCTTTTTCAAACAGTGATCTACAGACATTTCGATAAACACTGAAAGTAAAATGTTCATTCAAGAAGTTCAAACGCTTTGTAAGATCATCACTTTTCTCACTATGCTGAATTGACTAAAAACATAAGATATAGTGGAAACATCAGTTATAAAAATGTAAGTTTGACAAAATATTAGAATGCAATGAGTTTCATGTAATATAGCATTTAAGGTGAAATTTTAGACAATTTAAAAAATAAAAAAAATAATACATCATCCTATATCATTATAATATTTTTAACTAACTTTAAGTTATTCATTTTCTTTACTATTTTTATAATATAGTATATGCTGGCACAATATTGACAGGAAAGGGCAACGTTTTGATTACTATGATAATAGGCATAGGGAGAAGATCATGAGAGAGATACTGATGAACAATAGACAGCAGTACCAGTATGTGTTCTTCCCTCAGGGTTGTCAGGATGATAAGTCAAGTATAGCAGTATTTTGAAGAGTTGTTTAATTGTTAGTCAAGTTTCAGTAATTAGTGCCACATCAACGTTCTTGGCAAGTAATAAAACAGATAGTTCGTCAGTATGATTTCTGACACCATTTGCATTCCAAAGGAGAATAGATATGGGTTTCTTGGAAATCATTAAAGAATCTCTTAAGGGAGAAATGAGATATGATACAAGATTGGTGAGAAGTGATATCAAAGGGGTAACCACAGATTTTAATTAGGAGAAGAAAGATGTGAGTAAACTGGTGAGACCTATCGCATTTGATGGAAGAGGAATTCAGTGTTAATGGGATTGTTGGGGACTAGATAAATATTGAGTTATAGGATGTTGAGTGTAGTGGGCGGGTTGGCCGAATGGGCTAAAGCCGGGGAGTCTTTTAAATCCCCGCTCACACCCCATGGCCCGGGAAAATCCCGTATAGCGAGGAAGGGAAGGAGAAAAAAAAAAAAAAAAAAAAAAAAAAAGGATGCTGAGTGTAGGGTTGAGAAGTATGTTGTTGTTGCGGCAGAGTCTCACAATTAGTGATTAATCTTGGTCTGGATCTTTCTGTTTTATCTTGGTACTCGTGTTTCTGATAACTTGATTTAATATATTTGGCGACTTAGTAGTTCGTAAGATGTACCTAAAGGCATAAAGAGCACACTGCAGGATCTAGTTTCGGTTTGGTACACTCACCAGATTACGTTATGGTGGCAGTAAGTCTTGGTGTGGCCATATGCCTAGCAATTGTGGCACTGGACAATTTACCTTTTAGTATATAGTTTTTCTACTTTCACACTTACGTAGTATATTCTTCTTATTTTCTTTTTTTTTCAATCTTGGAGTTGGTTCTAAGTCAACAAAAATAGGAGTAAAGGAACCTTTATATTTATTGTTCTTTATTTTCTTTTAGAACACTTGTTTCTTATCACTATTCTTAAAGCTCACTTTTGCCAAAGTTAATAAGCATGAAAATCCGTTTTGGTTTCAGATAGATATTTTACAATTACATAATAGATCTCGGATTCTATAGATTTTAAAATTGTTTTATAGATCATGGCTGTAAATGGTATTATTTTAGTGTCCTTTGTTCTAATTAGACATGAGTAGCTTTGAGAACCTGTTATTTTGTTTAATAAGGAACACTCTTTTATCTCAAATTTTTTTTAACCTCTCTTTTTGCTTGAAATGTTTTCAAAATCTTTCTTTTTCCTCAAATTTATTTTGTTTTTAACTAACATAAAATGTTTAAGTTACAATAATAATATGATATCATTCACAAAATTTTGGACTGATGTTAATAATTTAATAAAAAGGGGGTCTGTACTGCTTACTACTAGATTTAGTGTGTTTTGATAAAGTTAATATAATGAAAATAGTAAAAGTAAAAATGACATATATGATTGTGAGGATGTACTGAAGTGGAGTTTCAATATTTAATATGTACAAAGAGTGCTAGAAACTCTAGTCTAGAGCAGAAAATATATGGTCATGCTATCTATAGATAGCAACATGAAAACATCACTCCAATAAATTACTTTTTAATATTTTTTCATTATTTAGTTGTTGAACCCAATGTCTTTGTAATGTATATTTTTTTCTCAAAAAAATATTGTTTTCCATAACAAAATTATAATATTGATATATCTGTATAAATAATATAAGACAAAAATATTGATTTATACAAACATCATCTAAGACCAGTAACTTCGGAATCAATTTCGCTATTGTGGATAGGATTTTTTTTTTATACACATGGGGAGTTTTATTCTTCGATTTTTTATCAACAAACACTGAATGTGGCTTACTAAAGTCAGTTGTTCCTGTTAGGGAAACCAGCCTACCAAAACAAATGACGAGATGTGGCCAATAGAGAAATTATCCTTCTCCATGGTAGAAGCCTTTCCACATTTTCTTTTCCACTATCTTGACTACGGATATATTAGAGAAATTGGTTTGGAAACCAACGAACCTTTTTATAAGCTAGACCACAGATGGGGAACCTGTGGCCTCGAGACATCATATGATCTCAGTGAACTAGCTGTGGCCTCAGTTAGTTTTTGTGTAATTATCATAAATCTATGGTAGGACTAGAATTAATTAATATTTGATTATTTACTTACTAAGTAGCTTTACAGCCCAGGGTGGGCCTTGGCTTCCTGAATTATAGTATGCCAATCATCTCTATTGCTCGCTCTTTCCTTCCAATTCCTCACACTCAGTGTTCTAAGGCCGCTCTCAACATCTTGTAGCCATCTTTTTCTTGGTCTTCCCTCTCTTTTTTTGCCATAAATTGTAGAGAACAATGCCCTATAAGGCATCCTGCTGTGGTCCATTCTAACCAGGTGGCCTAACCATTCCATAATTTTAACGAAATTAACTATGTTGGGGCTATGTTTTCCACGTGAGAGGCCTTTGGTTCGGAGCTCGCGGAACGATACCAGACTCAACAAGGAGCTTCATGGAGGGCCTTGGTGTCGACATAAAGGACGTGGCAAGGTTGGCAGAGAGTATAATCCTCGACTCCCTGGGAATCATCCACCACCATGTGCATGGGAGCGGATAGGGGGAGAGTTTGCTCGCGAGGGGGAGGCATGCCTGTGTTACAGCATTTTTTATATTATTATTTATTGAACACGTCCACTGTACTTTATGAATTTTTTATGTATTAGGTTAGAAAGAGAGAGGAGAGAATGTGAGTGGGAACATGTATAGGGGGAGAGAAGGAAGAGAAAGGGTACAGAATGATAATAAATGAATGAAAGAAATAGTAAAAATTATAAAAAAAAAAAAAAAAAAAAGGAAAAAAAAAAAATAATATATATATTGTAATATTTTTATTTTTATCTCTTATTTATTTTATTTATCTCTCTGTCTGTCTGTCTGTTATTGCCGAATTTTATCTTTTAAAATCTGGTATCTGTCCTTCTAACCTTTAATCTTTCTGTTAGTCAATTAACCTGGTATTCGTGTATCTATTTAAGTTTGTAAGAATGGGGTGTACAAGCTTAGATAGGATGAGAAGGATAAGGTATATAAGGTAAGACCGCCAAGAATGATAGGGGGACAACCCCTACACATCCAGGGCTCAGCAACCGAGGAGGCAATCCCCTGACGTTGCGAGGATAGGATAAGACCGCCAAGAATGATAGGGGGACAACCCCTACACATCCAGGGCTCAGCAACCGAGGAGGCAATCCCCTGACGTTGCGAGGATAGGATAAGACCGCCAAGAATGATAGGGGGACAACCCCTACACATCCAGGGCTCTGCAACCGAGGAGGCAATTCCCTGACGTTGCGAGGATAGGATAAGACCGCCAAGAATGATAGGGGGACAACCCCTACACATCCAGGGCTCTGCAACCGAGGAGGCAATCCCCTGACGTTGCGAGGATAGGATAAGACCGCCAAGAATGATAGGGGGACAACCCCTACACATCCAGGGCTCTGCAACCGAGGAGGCAATCCCCTGACGTTGCGAGGATAGGATAAGACCGCCAAGAATGATAGGGGGACAACCCCTACACATCCAGGGCTCTGCAACCGAGGAGGCAATCCCCTGACATTGCGAGGATAGGTAACCCTACACTCCCAGGGACAACCTGGAAGATGCAAGGGGGACTGTAGGAAAACAAGGGCCAACCAAGTTATTCCTACGAAAGGAGAGAGGAGGTAGGTTAGGAGAGAAAAGAGAAGGAGGAAGGTAAAACCAAAAAATAACACATTGGTCTGGTTTCAAACTGTCAGACAGAGAGATACCAGGAGCCTATGTGAGAAGGTAGTGACTCGGGAGAGAGTGCCTGCCCTAGGAACCAGGCCAGTATTTAAACTAATAACCAGCCCTCAGACCTGTTTTCAGGTTGGTGAGAGGCTACACTAGTAACAATTATTTTAATTAGGCCCTGAGATCTCTAAGTCCAAACTCCTTTTATTTTTATTTAATTATAGTACATGAATACTTATTTTAAAAATATTACAAACATTAGTTATTTGCAAAATCCGTAATTACAAAAAGAAATAATAAATAGCTTCAAAATGAAATTCATAGTTCACTAGGAAATTAACAGGTTGCGCTACTAAAATTATTAATCATTATTAGAAAAAACAATGACTTGCATAAATTAATTAAATAGTTCATTAGAACAACGCCTAGAGGGCGCCACGCGCAACCTCCAAAACACTATACCACTAGTCATTTACTATTCAACCTTTGACAGAGAAGGACCTCCCGTCCGTTAGCTCTAATACATCGTACCTTTTAATCTTCATCGCTAGTTAAATGTTATTATTGTTTTTACAATTTTAAATTAAATCACAACTAAAATTAATACAATATCTAGAAATAAATTAAATTTATAAATATATTACATATAAATGCTCCTTTTCATACAGTTCCAAAATAATAAAAGAACAAAACATGAACATGAGTTCTATTAACAATTACAATTTATATAGGCCCTAATAAAATATGTTACAATATATACGTATAAAATATTGTATACTATGCTCATACATATTGTTAATCCTATAATTGTATAATAATTTTAAATAATGTCTGTAGTGATTAATAAGTATGCTGTGTTGTTAGCAACCCAATGTAATTGGGCAGCACCATTTTATTTTATTTTATGATAATAAAGTGATTCTCTCTCTCATATAGCTCCGCATTTTTTCTATACCTCCACACACCCTCTTCACAAACACCTCCATAAATTTTTCTCAATAATATTCAGCATACTAATTGTGCTAGTACAAAGGGTCCATGTCTCCGCTGCATAAGTCACAATAGATCTAACTAAAGTCTTATATTTGTTTCTCATGACAGAAGCGATGATCGAAAAAATTTTAGGTTGGCATAGTACGCCTAGTTTCCAGCCATGATCATCTTGTACACCTCAGCAGCAATTTTATTTTCAGAATTCACTTCCACCCCAGGTAATTTGATTATTTAGGTTATGAAAATTAACGAAATAAATAAAAATAGCAATAGCAAAATATAAAAATTATTACAGCCTCCATTATCACTTCCTAACCTTAATGTTAATGCAGTCTATGATGAAAAAAAAGTTATCCGCCAATGGGCGGTAGACAATCAGAGGCAAAAAATCACATATGAGACTATATTAAGAAAGCATATTTATCAAGAAATGAATGAGAAATAACAACAGTTTATATTTGTTTCATCATTACATGAAGATTTTTTTTTTAATAGACGATTTATTATTTCATATTTTCACATCTACAATATTTACAACTGCTTTGGTAGTGTACCCTTGTCCAATATATGTTTTATACACAGAATATTTTACAATACAACATATTAAAATTATTAGTAAAAAATAAACATATGGAAAAAAACAATAATACTCTTTGCAATAAAATAAAATATAGTCTATTTTAGAGCAGAATATGCTTTGCTCTCTTATGATATAAAGAATTATAATCTGTTTATTCACTTATATTTACCAAATTGCACCTGTAAATTATAATTTTTAATGATCAGAAGATGGGCTGACATATTAATGAGAAATTTACTATTTACTGTTAAATTTTATAACAGTAAAAACATTAAGGATAAATTGTACTCAATTAAAAAAAAAATTTAAAAATATACTTACTTGATAATATAAGTTTATGAACCAGACTAATGAATATTGGTACATAGGATCAATATTGCCCAGTTCTGAAATACAGAAAAATAGTACAGCAGAATGCCTTGAAACAGGAACATATAAATTGCGGGCTAAGTCAATTTCGATTTCAGTGCTTGCTGCTATTTCTTGTTTTTGTAAAATTTCTTCTGATAAAATCTTAGAAAGAAAAAATAATTAAAAATACGTATATAAATATTTTATAAAGTTATTAGTAAATGTTAGTTAATCCTGTGCATTAAACATATATTATATGAGAAGGAGTTAGTCGAGGGTGCGGTCAAATAAATAAAAAAAATTAAAATATATTAATTATTTTAATTTTTGCAGACGTTTCGACCCACTTAGCAGGTCGTCTTCAGGGCTACAAAATATACAAAACATGTTGAAAATAAAAAATAAATATAAGTATATATAAAATACGAAGAAGTTGTCAGATACAGAAATAAAAGATGGTATCAAAGATATAGTGGGTGACAATGTAGTTAAATATTAAGAATTATATATGTAGAAGATACAAATACATGGAAAATAAGTAGGAATAAAAATAAAAATAAAGGAGAATATAGCATGTAAGTTAAAAGTAAACAGATTGGGATAAAAGATAAGGAATAAGTGTATAACAAACTAATAGAGATTACATTAGATAACTGTGGGTTAACAGATAAAGAAAATAAATACATGAATGTTAACGAATAAATGAATGTTAACTAATAAATAGATTGAAAATTGAATAACTATTGTTACAGTAAAGTTAAAATATGGATAAGATAATATAATAATAAGATATCAGTGGATAACAAGCAAGTGGAGGTTACCTTTAATTGTAAATAAACAGATAACGGGACTAAAGGTTAAGAAGTGAAGAAATTGAAAGATTAATAGGGTAACATTAGTGTAATATTGTTGGGATAGATTCATTCATTCATCATGTGTGGCACGACATCCCGTTACCGAGACTGGGCCTCCTCCAAGAGCCTCCGCCAGTTGGCTCTGTCTTCTGCTGCAGCTCTCCAGTTCTGTACACCAAGCAGGGTTCTCGCATCATAGGCCACATTGTCCAACCACCTCGTCCTCGGCCTTCCTACCCGTCTTGCGAGGTGCAGCTCCTCCATCATTATTTTCTTGGGTATCTCAACGGTGCTCATTCTTGCCACATGCCCTGCCCACCTTAGTCTGGCCAGTTTAATATAGGTGACTATGTCGATGTCTGCATAGAGAGAACTGAACTCCCTATTTTTTCTTTTCCTCCAGACATCACCCTCCTTTACTGGACCATAAATCCTTCTGAGGACTCCTCGCTCAAACACACTCAGCTTCATCTCATCGTGTTTGGTCATCGTCCAAGCCTCTGAGCCATATGTCAAAACAGGCCAAACAAGAGTCTTGTATATGATCAGCTTGGTCTTCTTTGAGAGGTACCTACTTCTAAAGTGTCGGCCAAGTCCATAGACACATCTATTGGCAGCCGTGATCCTTCTTTGTATTTCTTGAGCCATGTCATTTTTGCTATTAATTTCAGACCCAAGGTATATAAAACTCTTCACTCTCTCAAACTTAAAAGAACCTACATCAAATGGAGAGTTCAGATCCACCTCACCACCAACTCTCATATACTTAGTTTTCCTCTCGTTGACTTCTAGACCAAATGGTCTTGCAGCTGCTTCAAGGCCTATAAACGCTTCTCTGAGAGCCTGTTCAGACCTACCTATTATGTCAATATCATCAGCAAAACCAAGAAGCTGTGTCAGGCGATTGAAGATTATATCGTTGGTCTAAATACCGGAGTCTCTTACAGCTTTCTCCTCTGCCAAGTTGAACAATAGACAGGCGAGGGCATCCCCTTGCCTAACCCCACTGCTCACTTTAAACTCTTCGGAGTCGTCAGAACCGACGCGTATTCTACATCTCGAGCTGTCCATGGTCATCTTGATTAGGCGTACGAGCTTCTGAGGGATGCTTAGCTCCTCCAAGGCACAGTATAGTTGCGTTCTATCAACGCTATCGTATGCTGCTTTAAAGTCTAGGAATAAATGGTGGGTGACTACCTTATGCTCCATAGTCTTTTCTAGGATCATCCTCAGAGAGAACAGTTGATCAGTGGTTGAGCGTCCTCTTCGAAATCCAACCTGATACTTCCCCAGTTCCTTTTCAGAATACGGGAGAATCCTCTCAAAAAGAATGTTAGAGAGCAGTTTATAAGCACACGAAAGGAGTGAGATTCCTCGATAGTTAGCACATTCTGTTTGATCTCCTTTCTTATGTATTGGGCAGATAATGGCTGTTGCCCATTCCGTAGGCATAGCTTCCCTCTCCCAGATGGTCAGCATTAAATCATGCAGAGCTTTCTTAAGTTCTTCACATTTCAACAGCTCTGACTGGATTCCGTCCGGGCCTGGCGCCTTTCCATTTTTCAATTTCATCAGGGCATTTTCCATTTCCTCCTCATCCGGGGGTTCAATAGAATTCAGGGTGTCTTCCTTCATTACTCCTACTTCTCCAGGCACCGTTCCTCTGTTTAATGCGTCTTTAAAATGTTGTACCCATCTCCTTAGTACGTCATCTTTGTGGCTTAAAAGAGATCCATTCGTGTCTTTGCATGCCGTCACTCTGGGCCTGAAAGCTGCCCTACCCTCGTTTATTCTCTGAAAAAACAGCCGACTTTCATTTTGGCCGCGCAATGCCTCTATATCCTCGATGTTCTTGTTTTCCCAAGCTCTTCTCTTTCCGCGGAATAATCTCTTCTCTTCGCGTCTTTTTCTTCGATATGTTTCTTGGGAGAGCCTTGTGGGACGCTGAACCTTCTTTCTGTAGGCTTCATTTTTCACTTTTACTGCTTGAAGGCACTCAGCATCAAACCATGGAGGCCTTCTAGATTTAGTCTCGTAGCCAAGAGATTCTTCTGCTGCCTGTTTCATTGCGTTGCTGCATCTATTCCACTGTTCATTGACCATAGAGCTGTCATTAATTACATCTTCATTAAGTTTCGTCTCCACAGCTTGTTGATACGAATATTGGTGGTCTGAGTCCTTAAGTTTAGCTACATCAATCTTCTTCTTTGGTCGTTGGTGGTGGTTTTTAATCAGCGAAATTCGTGATCTGACCTCGGCAATGCTCAAATAGTGATCCGTGTCCATATTTGCACCTCTATAAGATCTTGCATTTATCATGTTGGACTTGTGACGGGCACTAATGAGTACATGGTCTATCTGTGATGTTGTTTGCCCATTTGGAGAGATCTTTGTGGATATTCTTTCGAGGAAAAAGAGTTGTTCCAACAACCAGTTCGTGCAATGTAGCAAAGTTCACCATCCGTAGCCCATTATCATTACTGGTCTTATGCAAGCTGTGGGTTCCTATGGTCGGCATGAGTGCCACCTCCTTACCAACTTGGGCGTTAAAGTCACCAAGAATGATTTTAACATCATTTTTGGGGCAGCTTTCTGTCACGCGTCCAAGTTCTTCATAAAATGTTTCCTTATCCTCCTCAGGTGACACCTCTGTTGGGGCATGGCAGTTAATTAGAGAGAAATTAAAAAATTTTCCTCTAAGCCGAATGTAGCATAACCTTTGGTTAATGGGAGTAAATCGCATCACCAGCTGTCGAGCTCTGCCTCTCACAACAAATCCGGTACCGAAGACGTGATGCTTTTCATGGCAGCTATAGTAATGTGTATGGTACTTCTTCTCCATAATTCCCTGTCCTATCCATCGGACCTCTTGGATAGCTACTATGTCGATTCTATATGTGTCCACTTCTACAAGGAGCGCACGAAGTGCTCCTAGTCTATGTAATGATAAAATGTTCCAAAATCCAATTCTTAGGTCATTTAGGCGTTTCCTGGGTCTGTTACCGTAATTCAGTCCGGCTTCTTCTCTTTGAGGTTTCGTAATAAGGTACTTTAGGGGAGGTGGGTTATCAGCCCACTGCCCCCGAGTCAGGTAGAGGGGCTGCCTCCTCCGAGCATCCTGACTAGCTCCCCCATCCGAGGCGGCTACCTAGGGAAGGTGACCCTAGGGTGTGTACTGTAGGTGACCTTTGTCTGTAGTGTTTAGGTGTTGTAGTGTGCTGTATAAAGTGTACTTGGTGTGTGTGTTCGTGTAAGTGTTCCCCCAACCTGGAGGGCCAGTGGCTGGTTGCGGTACAATGACCGGGCGATGGGACCGCCACCTCTCTACGCCAATTTGGGATAGATTATTAAGTATAAATAACTTTATAAGAAAACAATAATTTTAAAAGAATACTTTAAAATGTAAGAATAAATGTAAAAACAAGGTTATGATGATAAAGAAACAAAAAACAGGTTGTACTATATATAGATGACAATTGACATTCAGTTTTTTGAAAGCGGTAATGGAATGGTAGGCTGCATGAAGATAATAATAAGGTGTATAGTTGAAGGATAAGTGTGTTAAGAAAAGAATCACAATAAAAGTCAAAACATACCGTAGGATGTGGCACTGCGGGAGGCAGTTGAAACACTGGCAGTGTCAAAAAAAAGTTCTAGTAAAAATAAACGCATACATACATATACATATATATCGGTACATATACATATACATACATATACATATAGGTATCGGTTACCACTTTATATCGGTTTCCACCTCTTCTTTACCATCCCCTTCCGGCTTTTCTCCAGAGGTACCTTTTAACGACAATAATTTTTATTTTTCCGACATTTCTCCCACAGACCTTATTACCGTTATAATGAAATCCCGTTCCAATTCCGTAGGCCCAGATGGCATTCCTATCAAACTAATAAAATTATGTCTCCCTGAAATCCTCCCAGCACTCCTTTTCATCTACAATTTCTCCCTGCAGAATTCAATATTCCCGACCTCTTGGAAAAAAGCCATTGTCCTTCCTTTAAACAAAAAGCCTAATCCATCCTCTCCCGAAGATTTCCGCCCAATATCAATCCTTTCCAATCTTTCTAAACCCCTAGAAAAGTTAGTACAATCCCAAGTTTCCAACTACCTTGAACAATCCAACCAACTCGATCCTCTCCAATCTGGCTTCCGTCCTGGCTACTCTACACAATCTGCTCTGATTAAAATTACTAGTGATATCCAGACTGCAATAGATGACAAAAAACTAACCATACTTATACTGCTTGATTTCTCCAAAGCTTTCGATTCCATTATCCATTCCATCC